CCGCTGCCAATGATGAAAGTAGAGATACAGATAAGCTATCTTACAACAATACCATTATTATTCCACTTTGGCGTTGTCTGCCATTTGCCAAAAGAGAAAAGAGAAAGAACAGGAGTGGGAGAAACAAAAGCAAAAAGAAAGGAGAAAACAAAAGCAAAAACAAAAGCAGGAAAAGAAAAGAGACAGCAAAAGAGAAAGCAAAAGCAAGGAATAAACACCCCACCAGAATGATGTGATTTACTTTTCTTGTTTTTGTATGATGTGATTTATTTTTTTTATCTTTCGGAGACATCTGTATAAATCCCCCCATCAAAGGGTAATAAAAAACATAAAATAAAAAAATAAAAAATAAAAACAGCAAAGCCCAAAATAAATGGGCTGGAATGTTGTGTGGAGGGCGAATGCCTATAAGCCCAAAATAGCACCAACCAGGTGACCAAAAGTACGCCCAGTACTACAAAAAATTATTCGGCACCCCGCCGCTTTTATCGCCAACCAGGTGATCAAAAGTACGCTCAGTACTCCAAATTATTCGACAGCCTGCCGCTATTATCACCAACCAGGTGATCAAAGTACGTTTAGTACCTCAAATTATACATGAGCATTACTCATGTCAATCATACATAAACATTTCATGAGCATCACTCATGTCAATAACACATAAACATTCATGAACATCATTCATGTCAACATTCATGAGCATCACTCATGTCAATCAGCTTCAAAAACTTCATTTACAAAAGCTCCAACTTTGAAAGCTTTATTTACAGAGCTTTAGCTTCAAAAGCTTCAAAAGCTTCATTTACAAAAGCTCCAGCTTCGAAAGCTTCATTTACAGAGCTCTAACTTTGAAAGCTTCATTTACAGAGCTCTAGCTTCAAAAGCTTCATTTACAAAAGCTCCAACTTCGAAAGCTTTATTTACAAAACTCCAGCTTCGAAAGCTTCATTTACAAAAGCTCCAACTTCGAAAGCTTCATTTACAAAGCTCTAGCTTCAAAAGCTTAACTTGCAAAGCTTCACTTACAAAGCTTCAGTGCAGGGTATACAAATACCGCCTCCGAACAACCGCCACTTCGGCCCATACATGGATTCAATTTGAAGTCTCCAGCCAACAGACTCTATTGACCGAAAACTTGAGGGACTACATTATGTACCATATATTGGGCATCATCTGGGCCTCATGAAAAATACTTAGGGGACTCTAGCCCATTATTTATGTATTGAGGAGCGAGCCCTTATTCTATAAAAGGGACTCCCTCACTTTCATTAGAGAGCACCTATTATTCATGTACTGAAGAGCGAGCCCTTATTTTATAAAATGGACTCCCTCACCTTCATTAGAGAGCATCGCCGCCAGCTGAGCAACCGCCTCGCCTCGAGCATCACTCATAATTCATGTACTAAGGAGTGAGCCCTTATTCTATAAAAGGGATTTATTCACCTTCAACGCCACTGGCCGAGCCAACCAAGGCAACATAAGCTTTAAACCAAGCAGCCTCGCAACATGTGCTACTTCTAGTTGAGCATCACTTCACTTTGAGGACCACCTCATATCAAATATCGGTTCAAGACGACATCTAGTTACGTTGGCCCACACATGGACTGAATTTCAAGTCTCCAGCCAAAAGACTCTCTTGACTGAAGACTTGGGGGACTACTGTTTACCATACTTAGGGTCTCCGTATTTAGACCTCATATAAATACTCAGGGGACTCAAATGTAATTATGTAATAAATGAAGGGCCATTTCTTAAGCCTCCTCACATCCCCTAAGCTCTAAGCTCTCTCTCTCACTCTCATATTCAGAGCTCCCTCACCCTCCTCATTGGGAGAGGCCAATTTCCTAGGCCATCAGAAGCCTCACTCTCTCCCTCAGAGGCTCTGACTCTCTCTCCCTCACATACAAAGCCACAAGGCTCATAAACAGAGAAATACAATATCAGTGTGGACGTAGCCCAAACATTGGGGTGAACCACGATACCTCTTGTGTTATTTACATTTCTTGCAGATTCACGGTCGGATTTGCATTGTTCCAAGACCCCTCCGGTTTTGTGCATCAACAAGTTTAATAAAAAGTTTAATAGTGTTAGATTTAGGGTTAAATTGAAAGATACATGTCAACAAATAATATATGAGACATCAAATTGGGAACAACGGACCTCTAGCCTAAAAATATGGATGTTAACATGAATATTTAGACAAAATATGTAAGTTGGCATTCAAAGTGTCATCCAACTATCATTGAATCTAGCTAGTGAGTTGTCTAAGCCAAGCTAATTCTAGGAATTAAATTAGTTCTACAAACGAACTGATGATTGTTTGGATCATCTGGTAGCGACTTTGATGATATGCACATGGTTCACTTGCACCACCACCTAGAGGGGCACCGAAAGCACTTCCTGGCGCACGTAGGCGGACGAGGGTTCATTTGCAACACACCAATAGAAGAACTAGCTACTAAAGAAAACGATGACAGCTTATGGTAATTGCTAAAACGTCTAGTAATCACAAAGGTAAAGATCTAGAACGAGGGTCAACGAGTATATGCAACAGCTAATTGTGAATCATGTGGGGATACGTTCAATCTAAATGCGTGGTATTGTGACTACAATATTGATAGTTTTATGTTGGGACCTCGTAAACAGAATGTTAAATAAAGAGAAAGTCAAATTATTGATTCAAAGGTACTTTTCAGCTTTAGATGGCGAGACAAATTTAATTAAACACGTGAGACGTTAAAATGATTAAATATGGAAAAATACAAGTAAATAATTGGAAGATGATAATTAATTCACTAGAAACCATTAAAATATAAAGATCGTTAAATCAACTTTTCTATTTTAGAAACCATGCATATCATGCGGTGAGATGAGATGTGTACTTAAAGCAGATCATGTTGCTTCTGTTCAAACCAGCTCCCCACATTTAACGTTAGTACTCACAAGTTACAAAGAAATAGAGAAAATTAGAGCTTCAGAGGCTGCGTTTCACGCCCTACATCATCCTATTCTGAGGAGCTGATCTCGCGCTTAATCATTTAGTTCAGTTTAAAAAATAGAGCTCGAATGGGAAATTGGATTGGGAGATGCAACGGGTTGTACTCAGCTGATGATCAAGGATTAACCAGTCATAGGACATCCTCAAACTGTTTGAGAGTTAAGGTGCGTATGACTAACAGGCAACTCAAGGAGCTGATGGCGAAGGTGGACATGAATAACAAAGGTCGAAATTTCGAGGGGCTAGGCCTTGTGATCCTGCAAGAATGCTTGGAGGGTAGGCTTGTTGCTGCTGTTGATATTAATCATGATGATGATGAGATATTGAAAAATGGAAGGGATAATTGGATGCTAAGCACCATTTATGAAGGAGAACAAGAACATGATCATAGTTTGTAAAAACGGTTGTATTACTCTTTTCATTTCAAGTACGTAAAGTTTGAACATAAAAAGATCAGATACACGGATATGTACAGAGAATAATCAGTGCTTTATTTCACATGGAATTTTAGATCAAACTAATATTTTTATTAGCTTGAATTTTACACTTCTGCTAGTATTTGGTGAAAAGAAATCAAAAGGGCTTTTGGGTTACAAAAGCACTTCCATTGTAAGCAAGCGAATTATATTGGATATCATTTTGTCCTCGAGGTCTGGAGGGTTGGAAATTATATATATTATAATATTATTGAAAATTATATAGTTTCAATAATTGAATGACAAATGTAATCTCACTTGAATGTCTTGTGTCTCTGCAGTTGAACTGCTAACAGGCAGTTGTTATCATTCAAATGTTGCATCCCTTGACGTTATGTCTGGATAAGATGCACTCATTTCATATTTTGATTTCAAGTCAAACGGGTGCATCCTTTGAAGAAGGGATGCATTGAGTTTTAATAACCCCAAGTATCCCCACCCATGTAAAGGAGGAGTTTTTTCCCACTCTGCATTTCTCATTATTATCCTTTGTCAAAACGGGTGCATCGTTTGAAGAAGGGATGCATTGAGTTTTAATAACCCCAAGTATCCCCACCCATGTAAAGGAGGAGTTTTTTCCCACTCTGCATTTCTCATTATTATCCTTTGTCAAATTTCAAGTTATGTCTTGAGAGTACGAAATACATAAGGTTCGTCAAAGTTCGAAGATTACGATGCTTCGAATTTGGATTATAGATTGTTAAATCCTGGGCAATGAACACCTACCGAATTGCAAGCACACTTTTTAGAACATTGCATTTATGCAAATCTCAATCTTTAAGTTTGTTAGTTTGTCCACAACCTTTCTCCTCAATTAATTTGATGTTTTTGCTGTTTCGTGACTAGTGACTACTGTTATAACATAATTGAAAAAGATATGCCAAGTATGATTTAAACAATGGTTATCTCTTATACCTTGCATGATGTGATTTAAACAACTGTATAACGTAATTAATCACACTGTTTCCCTTGCATTTTGTGGTCGGAGCATAAGTAGATCAATAGACCGCTGAAGCTTCAAATTGGACCACATCTTCTTATGTAAGGGAAACAGATGCAGAATAGCTTTGATACAATAGTGTACACATATATAGCAGTAAGCACAGAACTCTGATACAATATTGCACAAACATATGCATGCAGTACCACTAATAGTCTATACAAGTATACGACCATACAGTCCATATATTATACCTATACTAAAACCCCAAAACCGCGCTAACTGTTCATGGACAGTGCGCGGACGAAAATGTCCTCCGATTTGATGTTGTTGTTCCGTTTGGTTGAGCTTTTTGTACAGTAAAATTACACCAGTGCCCGTTGTTTGGTTGTCTTTGACGGAATTGGACTTCGTTTCATTTTTTTTGTGGTTGTATTTGTTTTTGCTACAGTTGCAGCATAGTTTTGTCAGGCCCACGTGTTGGTCATCGCGTGGTACTTTGTTTGGGTTTTATTTTGTTGCGTTTTGTTTCCTCTTATTTTCAACTTTGTTTCACTGTCGCTTTCACCCGTTTTGTTTCCTCTCATTTCCATCTTTGTTTCGCAGTCGTTCTCACAGCTTAAATCCTTTTTGCCTCAAAAATTCCTACTTCGGGTCATCGCAAATTTTTGTGTTGTTGCTTTCAGTCAGTGTTTTGTGAAATTCTGCAACCTGCGATTGCTCGGAAAATACAAAATCAATGTAAGGTTTTTATTTGCACCTTGCGAAGACATCTGTGTTTAAGGTGAAGAGTTTTGAAATTATGTGCTTTTAATTTGAAGGATAGTGTGCTTGCTTATTGTTAATTATTTTTATTTCGTTTTGAATTTGTTAGTTTATCTTTTATGCATCTAAGTATATGAAATTCGATGTTTTAGATTGGATTTTTGTGGTTTTGAGTTTGTGGGTTTTTTTGGGTGCATGAGAAAATGTTATCCAATAGTTTGATTCAACATTTTTCCTCAATCTGTTGCAACTTTGTTGTCGTTGTGCCCCTTTGTCAAACTTTGTTTTCTATTTTTTATTTTTTCTGTGCTGCTTTTGTAAAATTGAAGTAGGAGTTTGATAGATGTTGATGAATCTCGTAGTTTATCGGCAAAGAGAACAACACCTTTTGTAATGTTTATAGTCATTTACCCATAGATTCATAAAGTGGTGTTATTTTTATGGAGGATGGTTGTTAATCTTTTGTATTATTAATTTCGCAGCGTGTGGGTTGCTTGGAGACCACCGGGTTATGCTTTTGTTCACTTGGATCACAGTAGAGATGCAGAGGATGCAATTGGTGAATTAGATGGTATGTTTAATATTTGGCTATTGATTTTTAATATGGGGTTTTCTTAGTTTATATCATTTGAATCCAGCATAAGGGAGAAGCATAAGTTCATCGATAACATTGTTTGTGAAGCAGCATAATTAGATGGTATCTGTTTTGAGATGCATATTTCAAAATCTTCCTTATGCAACCTGTGATTTTTCACGAATTATATGTGTTCAACTGGGTCTAGGTTTCTTCTTTATATAATGTGGTTGTCACCTTCATTGGAATTTCTTCATTTTTTGACATGTGAGATATCTCAATCAAAATAATGCTCATCATATAACTTATAATTTAGTAGAACAATATTGATACCGTTGCTTGAGTTGTGAGCATTATGTTTTCCTCTTCTAGAATTGTGACTTGCGGTCTTACTTTTTATGATTCACTGTTTTATTTTTTATGTTAATCCTTTACTTATGCATTGATGGGTAAGTCTTTGGTTCTGTTTTTTGTTGAGCTTTTTAATTAGCCCCATGCTAGCTGTCCATTCCTAATGGATGGGTTTGGTTTCTGGATTAAAAAGGCAGTTTCTAACTATGACATCTAAGAAAAGTATAGTCTTTTTTCTCCTTTTTAGCTTATTAAACATGATTTCCTAAGTGTTTTTTAATTTGTCTGTTTGCAGTGTGGGAAAAATCTTATTATCTCCTTGAATCTATAGTTTACTAATATGTGGTTTCTTTTTTAGTCTTCCCTTTTGAATCATTGCTTTGCTGCTTTTATCAAATGTTCCCTATTTGATAATAATATGGGAGAGCAATTTAGGTTTCTCTTTCAACGGCAAATATACCTTTGGGACAGATACTTGGATTCCAGTTTTGAATCCTTTTTTCCATATTAAATCCTGCTTTCCAATTTTGTATACTTAATTAAAATTACTTTTTATTTTTTATTTTTTTATATAGGTTGTATAGTTTGTTAATTCAAGTTTAACATCTTATATTATTTTTTAACTTAAATAAGTTCGCAGTATTAGATTGTTAGTGGGGGTTCACTTCAAGATCACAATGCGATGTGCTTTGTTCTACAATTGTGTTCAAACATTTTGGATTACTTTCTTTATCTATAGATTTGCATTATAATATTGTTTGTTGTCAAGTTATTAGTTCTTTTCCGTGCATATCGATATATAAAGCTTGAGATTTAGGTTTTCAGTCATGTGATGCTCAAATGCTTTATTAATTAGTTGGTTAAATGTATGGTGATCATTTGGGGCTATAGAATATTAAATTTGTTGTCAATGCTTTGAAATTTAGCTGAGTTCCATGGATACCTGATTGTTTCATATTTGTGTTTATTTCCGCTTCACATTAATGTAAAGTTATATTTATGGAAGAAAAAAAAACAACAGTTTACACCCATGCCACCTGACAGACATAGTTGTCTTTTATTTCTTTCTTAACTTACTAAAACTAACTTAGTAAGTGTTTTTCTTTTTGGTTTATGCATTTGCAGTGTGGGAAAGTAATTGATTATATCTCTTTAACCCTGCTTTTCCCTTTTGGGACAAGTGCTTCACATTTTGTTCTACTTTTGGTAATTGATTATTTGGTTTCCTCTTTAGTTTGATTTTTCCAACTATTGTTTTACTGCTTTCATAATGTGTTAAGTGTTTCATAATAGTTATTCTTTGTCATCTATTAATGTGTGATCATTTGTCTTACTATCCTAATATGAACTGTAATTTTTTTTTTTGTCAAATTTAGTTCTTTAATTACTTTTGGTTGGCTTATTTCTTTTCTGAGTCCTTTTTATTTTTGAAATTTCGAGTTTATGTAGTGGTTATCGGTTTTGTAATAGTTATGTTAAAATTATTTTAACCATTTATTTAATTAGGAATGAAAGAAATCAATCCTTTCTTTCATATTTATTTATAGATTTGTGTTATGCTGATTCTTATCTTTATTAAATTTATTTCTCTTTTAACAGATTCAATGGAAACAGTTAAGGTCACCCCTATTGCAGAATTGCGTCTTTACACTAAAGCGGAGAAAATAAAGATTTGTGTCTGTAGGATATGAAAATCTAGCATTTCTGCAACTGTTCGTAAATACGTAACACTATAGTGTATCTTGGTTGATGAAACGGTAAGCCATCATTGTCCCATAATTTAAATTAAGTATTTTAACAGTTATAGTTATGTCATAAGTCATCTTTTTTTTCAACAGTTAGATTTTTTAACATGTCTAAAGTGTTGTGTAAATCTTGGTTGTGATAGTTGACATATTTTCAGTTAGTTTATTTACCCATTGTGCTCATTCAATCTCTTTGTACCAAAATATAATGTTTTTTTGCTATTTACTTGATCATAAGTTTTTTAATTCTGTTATTATTCTTTTTTTGTTTTTTTTTCTTAATAAGGCATGTGATCAATTATGAAGAATAATGCGGTTGAAGCATCTGCATCAGACATCGATTGTGAATTGGTAGCCTCAAAGATTGACGCTGGTAGTTGTTACGAAATTATGAATTTTCGCACAATCAAAATCAAAGGACAGTATAAAGTGGTGCCGCATGAAACCCATGTTATATTCACTGGTACAAAAATGTTTAAAAACTGTCTACCATCTTTCCACCTATCCCTCGACATCGGTTTTCCTACTAGATTTCAACATGCTCTATCCTCGTCTGAACAGAGATGATATTCTTACAAGTAACATCAATATGTGTATATTTGTCTATATATGTGTGTGTGTGTGTGTGTGTGTGTGTGTGTATCTACATGTCCATCAATTAAAAACATTTATGTTGTTTTTTCACTGAAATGAGTTTTGACATTATTTTTGTATTAACTTTTTAAATTGTAAGATGTGGTTGGCCATATAATTGCAGTCCAGCAATTGGAATCAAAACAGATTAATCAAAGAATAGCGTAGAAGTGTGATATACGCATTGAGAATATCGTATTGTTCTTTTCTTTAACTGTTGCAATTCCAATTTGTTAATATCATTTTCTCTGTTAGGTTAGGAAGAAAATTTAGTGTCTCATTTGTTTTGTGCACAAAAAAGAAGAATTGTCTGTTACATTGTGGGCAGATATTGCAGACGCTTTTTGTTCTTTATTGATCCAGAACTTGTCTTTGCCGATTATTGTTGTATTTACAAGTTTAAAAGTCAAGATTTACCTAGGTAGCTCATTTAACTAAAACCCACTTTTTCTATCTTTATTTGGATATGTTCTTACATTTCTTGCTATAAACTATTCCACTCTTTTATCATTATGGAATTTTACTGTATTTGATTGCTACTCTTTATGTGTCACAACCCATCCCGGAATTTATTTATCGTGGATGTGAAATGACAGAATTACCCTCATCGGTTACTAAGGTACATGTGACATGCTATTTGAATAAATGCATACTCTCCTAATTTCTTGGAAAATAAATTATGGGGATTGAAATTGTATGTAATTGTGTGGTTAGGGACTTAGGAGGACATCCACACACATAAAGCAAACCTCTCTCTCTCCTATCCTGTGTCTCTCTCTTCCCTCTCAGTTCACTCTCTCTCTCTCCCTTCGAACCGTATAGACACACTCACCATCGAACCTCCAAACACAGATCGAAGGTTTTGAAGGCATCACTATACTCGTGAGAACCCTACGAACTCACCCATACCCATTTCAGGTAAGAAATCTTTCAATTTCACGTTGAAACCTCAAGGTCCGAATTGAGCACTGTTCACGAACTTTGTAATGGTTGGTTTTTAGGACAATCCAATCTCACAATGAGCTTTAGGAGGTTCTCACGAAGCTCGGGGACGTTCGTTTGAAGGTTTTGGACGTCGGGATCACAAGGTTCGAAGGTGGCCAGTTTTGGGTGAAATTTCCCGATGTGATTTCGAAGGATTTGGAAGTTTTTAAAGGTATAGCCTTCTTCCTCTCGTAATTTGTGAAGTTTTGGTGAAAATTTCATGGAAAATGGTTGAGAATCGAGCGAGAAAATGTCGATTACAGGTCTGCCCAGTTTCCGACGCCGGCGAGTTTTCCGACGTCTGGAGGAAGGAGATGACACGCGTGGGGGGCGCGTGGGGGCGCATGGCAGGTCCAAAAATTATTCTAAAAATACCTCGACATCCGTAATGTCGAGTAGGTCACTGTGGTATATTCATATACCCAATTTGAGCATCGTATGAGAAGTTATTACATATTGTCGATTATGTGCTTTAAATAATGTTTTTATAGTTGTTTCGCATATAGGTGATACATATCCCGAGGACGAGCGCATTCAAGGAGTGGGCAGTATTTTCTGTATTTACCTATATACTATTGGTTTTTCCCAGAAATTGAATTTAAATGAAATGTGTTCTAAAATGCCATGCATACATTATATGAATTGATAATTGTTGCATATATATGTTAAATGGTGTTGTGGACGCACATGTGAGTATTAGGTGAGTTTTATGTTAATCATGTGAATTATTGTGATGTGAATTGTGTTGAGAGCTCATAACCTGCACCCCTGGTGTTAGTGCTTATATTATTCACCCGCACCATATGCTCACCTTGGATCTAAGTAGGTGCATGTCGTACAGACCATTAGAGGGTTCCGACATGTCGTACAGACCATGAGAGGTGGTTCCGACTTGTAGGTGATTTTAGATTATTATACAGTTGTTGATGAGAGAAGCACTAGAGCGTATTCTTACACCTTTTTTATCGTACAGATTACTTCAGGTAGTTCCGATGTATGTGCAGAGTAGCGCCGTACAGGTCACTGTGGTGACTCCGGTTGGTTGGATATTGAGCTATTGAATTAACCATACAAGACCAACTGCAGGGTCTCCGGTTGATTCCTTATTTCACCTGTTATAATGTTACACCTTTATTCTGTTATTGACGTTTATTGCATGGCATACTTTCTGGTTTTTTATAAAGATTGGTGATTTGAGATATTTGAAGAATTATATGCATATTATTTTATTTTCTGGGAAAGTATACAGGTTTTACAGCGAGAGGTTAGAAATGTTATTAAATGAAGTGTTTTCAAAAAGATTTGTTTTACTGACCCACTCAATTTTGTTTTGTGCCCCTCCAAGTTCTAATTAGCGGTGTTGGTGGCCCACGAGGATTTCCACGGCGTACTGACAGACTACATAAATGTAAGACTCACATGCGGGTGTTGTAATTTTGGTTATAGTCCTACTTGACTGCACCTAGTACTTATGCTCTGAATATGTGTGTTTCACACTTAAACTCACTCTAGTATGCTAGTTAGTTATTATTGTTAGTAGTTGGTTTTTATTCCTTCGTAATTCTTTTATCTTTTGCTTCCGCATCGCACTTTTGGTTACGTCACGCCCACGTGACGGCCAACACACCTTGATTCTAGGATCGGGGTGTGTCATTATGACAGAATTTTGATGTCTTATTTTCTTTTTTCTTTTTTATTTCTTATTTATACACTGTTAGAACCTGTTTGTTACAGTTTGTATTTCGTTTCTAGCATTGCATGTTCAAATTATTTTACCACATTTTTATATGTATCCATTTCAATTTTTTCCTCACATTTAAACATCTACCATCCAATTAAAAACATTTACTCATCTATGATATTTGCTAATATTTATTTTACAATTCTGTTATTATTTTTTTGCCATCAACAGAGAACATCGTCTTGAACAGTACCAGCTCCTCCCTTTTTTTCATCGACCTAGACATCCCGGAGGTTAACTCATATAAATCAATGTTAGTGCACTTCTAAAATCGTCATTCCTGTTAAAACCTCTAAACATGCTGATTTTTCAAAATTTCTTATTTTCTTTTTAAACTTGCAGGTTCTCAACCTGTAAAGTCCCTGTAAAAATGCTGCCTCCTTCTTCAAGGAAGGAAAATGAGGCTAAAATTCTTCGTACAGCAAGAAGAGTAATAATAGATAAGCTGGTCTTTTTGGATCCTGATTTGTATAAGGTATACAAACGATTTATGCTTTTCTATCTTCTTTAAAAAAAAATAAATAAAAAATAAATAAAACATTTATCTGCATTTTTACATATTGAATAAAAACTAATTTTGTTGTTGCTCTTTTATGATACACGTGTCATAAAACATTTGACAAAATGATACATTCCTATGTAAAGCATCTGTCAAACGTTTTGACACACGTTATGATTGGTGGTACAATGCTTGCCATAGCTATGTCAAACAAATGCATAAGGACCCATCGACTGGGCAACTCATCTGTCATAAACACCCCAACCAAATTCCAACACCATGGTAACATTCAATATGCAAGTTTGTTATTCTGTTTTTTTTTTTTACTTTTTCTACGATTTTCAATTCCATGTTGTTTCTTTCCAACTAAAAAATGACTTCAAATATGTAATCTCTGTTCTTTAAACTTCTTTGCTCTGATTGTTAACAATGAGTTATAAGCCATAAAAAAAAACTCATGGAATTTAGTTTTTAAATATAGGTACAAAGTTAATTTGATTCTTGAAGACAGCACTAATGAAATTAGTGCTTTGATAATTGGCAAAGCTGGAGAAAAACTCTTTGGTATGCCCTGCAAAGATTTGGTCATGAATCAGAGATTGATTGACCAACAACAACTACCAAATGAGTTTTTGCGACTGATTGGACAAAAGAAGATTTTCCACTTGCGATTCGGAAATAGAAAAAATAGTTTCAACTCAAGTGATGTGCTGGTTTACAATGTGTCTGATGATCCAGCTATAGAGCCAATAACTCCACATATCTTACCAAGAGCAGTCACAGTATCTTCCACTACTGTATCATCTTCGACCTCACCATCTGAAACAAGCGGAGAATCACATAAACGAAAAAGGGAGTTTGTGAGGAAAGCTCTTTTTACTGGCAGTGAACAGAGGTATAGATTCAAACTCCATAGTATCATAAAATCCGATACTTTTATTTTACTCCCTATGTTCAAATATTCATATCTTCTAGCTATCTTGCTTTGCTTAATATATACCTGTCAAGAATCTTTTCTCTTTTTTTAAAGACAAAATTTGAGTAAAGAGATATGAATTATAGTTGGACAACATTTTTTGTGTTTTATCCAATAAAATGTGCTCATCAGTCAATTTCAGAAGTTGACCCGAAATAATTTGATGAAATGCCTATCAAATTGTTGAAAAAAAAATCACCTCCAGCTTCTGCAAAATTAGATAGTCCCTCCAAAAATTAACTAGGTCATTATGGTTTCATTTTGCTAAAATCTTTGCTTCAAAACTGTTTAGCTGCGAACTTCATCACTGTCTAAATGCCTTGCATTATTTTTCTTTGTACAGGTTGGTTTCTCAATGTCAACACTAATAATGCTCATGTTACAAGATGTTTCCTCCTCTCTGTATTAAACATTGTCTAATATCTTTGGTGGTTTGTAAATACCACTTTCTACACAATACTGGACAATATTTTTGCACCTTCATATACCAACATTTGTTAATTTTTTGTGTACAGAAGCTGGTTTAGTTTTTAGAGCACAAAGAATAGCTAAAGTAGAATATATAGCTCTAATATTTTTTATATCCATGTATGAAAGTATCTGCTAAATTTTTGTTTGTAAATATGATCATCCTAATCCAAAAACAGTTATAAGTGTTGTGATCCAATCATAACTTTCATGTTTATCCCTATCTTCTCACAATTCAAGCTTTTCTCCAACTTTTCCATTTTCTTTGTTATTAATGTTGTTATTGCTTTGCAAATTCATTTTTCAAGTCTTTAATATAACGTTTCATTCTGTTTAAAACCCACAGCAACTCGCGGGTATAAATAACTAGTGTATGCTATTTATAAAAAGGAAATCAGAGGCCTTCCCTACGTAGAATTACTAGTAACAGTTGCAGGACTGCAGTCAATTAGTGCTACAGTATACTGCCACTAGCTGGACAAGACTGGGGTAATTGGCATGAGAAACCAGACACTACTCTGGCAAGCAGCAGATGTTGGCCCATGTGCCAACCTTACTTGAACTAAAATATTACAAAAAAATCCAATTAGGAAAAGAAAAGCAGATGACACTTTACCGCAATAGCAGAATACATCATGTCTATACACTTTGTTACGGATTTTGTCTCCACTAATCCCCCTTCCTCCTAACAACTAATAATTTATCTCCACTAATCCCCCTTCCTCTTAACAACTAATAATTTATTCCACTAACGTTATCGTTCATAGAAGAAAAAAATTAAGCGAAGAAAAAATAATTGTAGTTTACTTGGGCCTCATATTGGGTGACTGAAAAGCCATCATAGTTTACTTGGGCTCTATTGACAGATGGGTCCGTATAGTTCTCATCTCTTATCTTCGGCCTTGAAGAAAGAATACCTCGCCACTTTTAATGACTCAGTTGCAAATAAATTTCTCTCCATTATTAGGTTTTTTTTTTTTTTTTTTTTTTTTTTGAGAAATGGTAGGATATTTATTAAGACCGCAAAGAATACGTACAACATGAGGATAGTATGCATACTTGGTCTCGATAAATTTCTATCCATTATTAGGTAATTAGATTTTTACAAGTAACTGTTAGATTGACTTGTTAACCATTCTTTATTATGGTGTAGATTATGTTGAAGAATCTAAATATTACACATGATAAACTCATAAACCTGATATATTTTTTTTTTGACATAAACCTAATATAATTAAATACAA